GAAGGGGTGGGCGGGCTGCAGCTACCGGAGCTGTGGGTGTCCAGACGTACAGGGTGTGGGTTTCTGCCGATGCATCTCACTCTCACCCTCTGAGGTCGGAAGCCTCCCTTCAGCCTGCCGCGCCTGGGAGCACCTGCCGTGGGAGTCACTCTCTCGGCTCTTCGCCTTTGAGTTTTCATTTCTCTTTCGTGTCCTCGTTTTTTTCCCTGCGCTGTCCCTCACTTAGCGTCAGACACGTTCTGACTGTCGGCTTTCTCGTCCCTTTCCTGCTGGCAGAGGGGCCTGGGAAAAGCAGGCCCTGTTTCTTCCGTACACGTTGTGGCTGGGTGCCGGCACGGAGGCCTGCCCACCCGCCCTCGTGTGAGGCCTGGCAGTGCTCTGACGGGCACTTCAGTGGGCAGCGTGCTCTCTTCCTGGTGGTGACAGGTGTGTGTCCACGCGGCGGAGACAGGCCAGCACCCTGTGTGGCAGTGAGCGCCACCGGAGCCGCAGAGCCGGCGTTTGGTTTCTGTGCCGTCCACAGTGTGGCGGTGGCTTGGTGCTAGCTGGCCAGGAGCGGGAATGGCGCTGTCACGAGCTGTGTGCACTGTCCTCCGGACCCCTGTGCCTTCCCGGGGCGGTGTTCCTCGGGCACGACACCCACTGTGCTCTTCCCAGCGTGTCAGGAATCTCAGCAAAGCTGCGAGGACAAGAAAAAGCTCCCTCGGAGCGGCAGGGCTGCAGGGTGGGCGTCCGCCCTTGGTCTGGGCGGGGGGCCCGGGCTGGCCCCGTGTCACCGCAGGCCCAGTCGGGGTGCCTGAGGTTTTCTTCTTGCAGATGTGCCTCGCTCCGAATCTGTGGGAGCTTGGAGGCTTGCCCCGCACAGCGGCCGGCCCGTCCTGACCTAGTTTCTCAGTGTGTTTGGAGCCCCGTGGCAGCGTCTCTGAGCCCAGCGCGATTAGAGCGGCGAGCGTGTGCTTTGTCTCTGCCTGCCTGGTGTCAGGGGGCGTTTCTGTCCATTAACGTGTACTCGTTTCCGTAAGGATGAAGTATTTCTCTGAGACGGAGAGAGACCCTCGGCAGCGATCGCCCCGAGCCACAGCTGGTCATTCCTCGGGGCCCCCACACCCGAGTGACCAGCCGAGTGGAGAGCGCTGGCCAGGGCTCACGCTCTGCGGGTGGCCGCTGGCCTGGGCGGGACCGTCAGTGTGGAGAGCCACGGCTGCAGGGAGCTGGCGCAGAGGGCGGGGAGGGCGCGCAGCGCGGGTCTCCCCGGGGCCCGCGAGTCCTGCCCAGTGCGCACACCTGGCACGCTGGCCTCCCACATCCCCAGGAGCGTGTGGACCTTCCCAACCCAGAAGCAGCTCACCCACGTCCTCCTGGTAAGGTCTACCTTAGTCTCGATTCCCGCACCTGGAGAGGCAGCCAGGAAGGGCCTGTGGTAGCCGACGTCCTGACGCTGTGTGCACAGTGGGGTGAGATGCAGGGCCCCCCCCCCACCATGACTGTTCTTCCGGAAGGATGGGAGCTTGAAGGAGCACTGACCCGCACCCACTTCCTGCTGGGCCTCTCTGCCATCGGGGCTGGCGCGTGGCAGGTTAGAATGTCCCGGCCCTCATGCGTGATGGCTCCCCTGAGAGGCAGCAGTTTGTTTTGTTAAAATCATTCGTTTCTTCCATGAGAGAGACAGAGACAGAGAGACAGTCACCCCCCACAGGATCTTCACACCATGACCCAGCCCAGCCTATGCCGGGAGGGTCGCAGCAGGTGGTCCCCAGCATGCTCAGGGCGACCCGGGGCGCAGACCCGGCACCCCCCACTCGGTCCAGCCGCGTCACTGCCTGGGCCTGCGGCCGTTCCTGGGTGGTGGTGCCTGGACTGCCGCAAGGCCTTGAATAATTTCGAGGGCTCTGCACCTGGTTGCCCACAGTTTTTTGGGTTTTCTTACTACATTTTGGGGAAGAGAGGCATCAGAGAGTTGAACCACCTTTTTTTTTTTAGAGATGTTTGCTATAGGGCCTGTGCGCTTGCTGGAGAGACAGAGACAGACAGAGAGAAGGAAGCAAGAAATCAGCCCCGGGGATGGCCATGCTGCAATTCCTCCTCCTCCATTCGCCTTCTGGGACTTTGGGCACACATGCACATGCGCCTGGAGTGATTTTCAGCCCCTGGGTCTGGGACTCAAACCGCAGTCGACTGTGGGACTGGTGACATGACAGTTACGCCACCGCTGGCCCCCTCCAGCCACCGTGTTGCTGACGCCAATTCCTGTGTCATGCCATCCATGGCGCGTGCTCCTTTCACACACGCGCACACCCCAAGCTGCTGCCACGGGGTTGCAGGCGGCCGTGGGGAGGCCCCACGCCCAGGCGGGGTTGACGGAGCCGAGGGTCGGGGTGAAGCCCCCGGAGGCAGGACTGTCTACAACCCCATCTTCATGTCCCCCAGGTGGATACTGCGGGGCCGGCTGAGCTCGGATGGACAGGACAGAGACCCGACAGCGGAGGCCGCGAGGCTGGAGTACGCCAGAGGAACAGGGGCTGCCCCTCAGCCTCAGCACAGCCAGACCCCCTGCAGCCTCAGGGGATGGCCCTCCGGAAGTCCCTGAGAGCCAGGAGGCGGCCCTCCAGGCCCCGGAGGCTGAGCACAGCAGGGAGTCTGCCTTGTCCATCGGCCTCCAGGTGGTAGTGCCCTTCCTGTTGGCAGGCCTGGGGCTGTCCTGGGCGGGCGTGCTTTTGAACTACTTCCAGGTAAGAGTGTGCCGGATGGGCTCAGCCAGAGCCGGGGGCACCACGCTAGGGCGCCGGGGGCACCACACCTACCAGGGCGAGCGTCTGGTAGGTGTGGTGACAGACGGCGAGTCCGGCCCAGGCGGGCTCTGAAGTACCACTGGCCGGCTCATGGCATGGACACGTCAGGGCGGTCTTGGGCACGGCGTGTGCACAGACATGCAGTCCTTAGGCTTTGCTCTGCCACATCCTCCCGAGTTGAGTGACTGCGGGCGCTCAGGCGGCCAGTCCCAGAGCAGACCAGACGGTTCTGGAGGCTGGAAGGCCAGGACCGTGACGTGGGCAGGGCTGGTGTCCCCGAGGCCTGCCCTCGTCCTGAGCGTGGCTGTCTCCTCTGTTCTCACAGGGCCTTCCTCCCTTGCGTGTCGGTCTTCATCTCATATGGAATTGACCCCTTTTAATGAACAACTCTTTGAGGCCCTGCCTCTAAAACAGTCCCCTCTGGGCTCAGGACTCGGAGTGTGAACGAGCCTTCTAGACAGGGCCTCACGGTGTCAGCCCTCCTGGGTAGCTGGGACCACCCCTGGTTCTCTCGGACGGGGCCTCGCGGTGTCAGTCCCCCTGGGTAGCTGGGACCACCCCTGGTTCTCTCGGACGGGGCCTCGCGGTGTCAGTCCCCCTGGGTAGCTGGGACCACCCCTGGTTCTCTCGGACGGGGCCTCGTCCTGGCAGTGCCCCTGGGTAGCTGGGACCACCCCTGGTTCTCTCGGACGGGGCCTCGCGGTGTCAGTCCCCCTGGGTAGCTGGGACCACCCCTGGTTCTCTCGGACGGGGCCTTTACCGCGCCACCCCAGCAGCCGTCACGCCCAGCCCCTGGGCTGGACTCAGTCGGCCCTGGCCCCCCCAGGGCTCTTAGCCTGCAGCTAGGGGCACACGTGCTTCATGCCTGGTGTGCCCCCCAGGTTGTTGGTGCTGGGGTTTGCCAGGGTTTGAATCGCAGGCACCATATGGCTTGCAAATCGTGGCAAACGTGTGTGTGCATGCCCACAATCCTGAGCGGAGGAAAAGACTGTGGCATGGCCATCCCCGGGACTGATCTCTTACTTTCCCTCTCACTGTCTCTGTCTCTCTCCAGTGAGCACAGGCGCCCTCTAGAAAAATCCACCAAGACAGTCTGTTGAAGGAATGAACAGAGGCATGGGAGAGGCCCAGCGAGAGGGACCGTGGGGCCCGGGGCAGTTGTTACAGGAGTCTGTGGGAGGTGGTAGGGTCTACCCTGGCCAGGGCATGGATTCCAGACTCAGGGGGTTGGGTCTGAGGACGGGTAGGGCCGGTCAACCGAGGGGGAGCAGGGGAGGGGCCTGGGCGGGCAGCGGCTGGGGACAGGAACAGGAGCCGAGGCAAGGCGTGGCCAGCTGCGGTCCTGGGGTCTGTAGGTGGGTCTGACCCGGCTCTGGCCGCCTGCCAGCTTGGCACCATGACTCCTGCCCCTCCTGCCCGCTCCCTGGGCCTTCTGTGCCTAGAGCCTGAAGTACCCAGGGGCCCACCCACCACAGAAGTCCAGGCGAAAGGCAGCCTCTGGCCTCTCCCTCGGGTCAGGGCGCTCAGCAGGGCTGGGTCCCTTCATTGCAGAAGGACGCGAGTCATTGGAAGCCTGCTCGGGGGTCCCTGGCCTTCGGGGAGGACAGGCTGCAGCCACCGTGTGAGCCTGCGAGCCCGGACACAGGGCAGCAGGTGGCCGCAGGGCCAGCTTCCGTGGGCACCCGCAGGCCACCTGACCTTGAGGAATAAACCTCCTAGCCCAGTGGAGCTGGCGAGGAGGTGGGACTTCGGTGCCGAGGTCTCGGGTCGTCCTACCCAGGACGCAGGTGCAGGGGGCCGGGCCTCCGTGGGGGCGCTCTCAAGGCCAGCCCTGCGTGGGCTTTATCTCTGGCGGCCTGCCAGGATGCTGGACACTGTCAAGGTCAGTGTGGGAGGCTCCTCTGCCACACAGCCGCTCTCCAGGGAGCAGCTGACCCGCGGCGTGGACAGTGGGAGCTGGGAGCTCCGGGAGGAGGCTCTGAGACACCCAGGCCTGGCCTCTCCGTTGACCACACTGTCCTGGCGAGGGCAATGAGGAGCGAGGACAGGAGGCGGCCCGGGCATGCCGCCGGTGCCGGGTCAAGCCTGGTGGTCACGCAGCTAGACCTGCAGTTCCGCTTCCAGGGCGGGAAGCTGCACGGCCTCAGCTGTGAGCTTGCCCGCCTGCCGTGCCATGTCCCCCCCGAGACCTTCCTGGCCACCACCTGCCAGGTCGCAGTGCCCGTCCTGCTCTCTGGCCTGGGCATGGTGACAGCCGGTCTGGTGATGGACACTGTCCAGGTGTGTGCAGCGCGGTCAGCGGGTGTGGGGACTGGGGTCTCGGGCTGGGGTAGGCTGGGGACTCCTGGCCTCCGGTGGGTCAGCTGCCTGGCCTGGCCGCCCAGGAGCCTGAGTGTCAGCAGGGCCGGCAGAAGGGTCGCCAGGTACCCCCAAGGCTGAGCTCAGCAGAGCGAGGCCCTGAGAGCCTCAGCCCTGGGAGCAGAGACCGGCCGCCTTCCCGTGAGCGTGGGCTCGCTCGGCAGGGCCGGCCGCTTCCAGGTTCTTGCCTCGCTGTCCAGCCTGTGAGCGGGAGCACTTGATGGAGTGCTGTGCATGGTGGGCGCTGCTCACCCCGGGGCTCTGGGGAGACCGCCCCCCAACCCTTGGCTAGCTCCTCTGTAGGGGGACGGGGTTCGAAGTCCAGCGTGGGGGCATGGGGCCAGGCGAGCGAGGGGCGCGGTGTCTCTGTGCAGCCGAGGTGCGTGCCATGAGAACCGTGCCCTGAGCTTCCCTGCACCGCTGAGGGCTTCTGCTCTGGCCGCTCACCGTGATGACGGAGCGGTGAGTGTGGCTGTAGGGGAGCTAGGAAGCGTACGTGAGCCGTGGGAAGCTGTGCTTCCAGAGAGGGAGAGGTGGGCTGGGGGGCACCCCAGGGCGGTGTGGTCACTCGGGGGGCTGCGTAGGGTCGCCTTACGCTGTGCTGCTCTGGACCCTGCTTCTGTTTTTTAAGTCTGATGGAGACACGGGTCTTTGTCAAACAGATTTTTCTGTCTGGAAAAATCGAGAGCCCTCGTGGCCCTTTGAGGTGACCCGTGATGGCCTCTGCACGGGAGCGAGAGCAGGCCGGCATGGCCCGCAGACACCGCCCAGACAGGCAGGGCCTCCTGACGCCCGCCAGTCTTCCCGTTCCCGTGCCTGTAAGGCCCCGTGCAGATCGGAAGGAGCACATGGGTGACTGGGCACAACCCAGTGCCTTGACCCAGCCCAGCCCCGGGCCAGAGATGGGGCAGACTCGAGGCCGCTGGGGTGGACTCTGAAAACGGTGTTGAGAGACTTCACGGTATCTCATTACTTGGGGTTAGAGAAACCAATCTTGGGGACCAGCAGTTAGCGTAATAGCTATGTCGCTGGACTCCCATGTAATCGACTGCAGTTCCAGTCCCGGACCCGGTGGTTTAAACTCACTCCAGGCGCGTGTGCGTGCATGTCCAGATCCTGAGAGGAGAATGGAGGAGAAGGGATTGCGGCGTGGCCATCCCCCTGGGGGTGATTTCTCGCTCTCTGTCTCTCTGTCTTTCTGGCAGGCGCATGCGCCCTATAGCAAAAACCTCTTTAAATAAAAGAAAGAGGAGCGGACCTTGGAAGTGCGCTGGCCTGCTGGCCCTGTCGCAGTGAGGCGTGGCCACTGCGTTGCAGGAGGCTCCTGGGCGCCAGTGCGAGTGGGGCTTGGTCTGCTCTTGCCCACAGCACTGGCCCGTGTTCACGGAGGTGAAAGGTCTTTTGACACTGGTGCCGCCCTTGGTGGGCCTGAAGGGGAACCTGGAGATGACCCTGGCCTCACGACTCTCCACAGCCGTAAGTTGTTGCCCTAAGGCCACCCGGGACCCGGGAGATGGTGGGGTGGCTGCCTAGCCCGGTCCCAAAGGGAGCCAGGCTCCGAGCCCTGGGCCTGTGGGTGTGACCTCTGGACACGACTGAGTTAAGGACCTGGCGGGGGTCCTGGTGAGCCCCAAGTAATCACAGAGTCTTCATGACGGGGGACAGAGGGATGTTTCAGACAACAGGGGGAACCCCTGTGGGGGAAGCCGAGCTGGACCAGATGCCCCCGCCGGCTCTGCGTTGCCTCCACCCACGCGCCCCTCGGGCTGCCCCACTACAGCTCTGCGCCCCGCCCTAACCCCGGCAGCCACTCCTGCTGCCTGTCTGCAAGGCTCTCATTTCGACAGCGCTGCACGAGCGGCCGAGCATTCGTGACGTTGAGAGCAGCGCGTTCCCCCTCGGCACTGCGTCCTTGGCGTGTCTCAGGCCTCGGTAGCAGCAGGGAGGGGTGCCCACAGCCGTGGGAGCTGAGAGTCGGGGCCCGGGGTGCAGATCGCCAACCTCCCACATCCTCCTGGGGCAGGAGGGGTGAGCTGCCCTCCGACCTTCCCTGACATGGGCTCTGCCCTCGTGACACAGCTGTCCCCACGGCCTTGCCGCCGGAGGCTGTCACACAGACGCCGCCTCCCTGGTGCAGGAGTAGGTCACTGAAAGGCCGGCGGTGCAGCCGAGGTGACTGCACGGCAGTGCTCGCAGGGCCACGTCCGCAGGCCTGGACACGCCCGGCACAGCGAGCAGGGGTGCTGCTGCATCCGCGGAGGCGGCCGCGTGGCCGGTCGGTCTCGGGCTGGCCTCTGTACGTCGAGCATCCTTGCGTTCCAGGATCAGGCCCGTCGGTGCTCGGTGAGCCCCCGGGCGCGACCTCTACTGTGCTGTGCCGCCGGCGGGCGGTGTCTGTCCGTGGCCTTGTCTCCACGCGGTGCCTCGCCTGGCTCCAGCCTCAGAGTGGCGCTGCCCCATGAGTGACCTGGGCATGCCCTTCCTCTCTGGCTCAGGAGAGCGTTCCGGTCTTCAGTGTCCAGCGGACTCACCTCGTGGTCAGCGAAGCCGGCTGGTCCTGGTGCTCTTGGTTGGGCGGTTCAGGGCCATGGGCCATTTGCTCGTGGACGGTGACCCTGCACTTGGCCTGGCCAGTCGCATGTTGCTCTGGGGCAGACGAGGTGAACCTGTGGCCTCAGGGGCGGCGCATACCCCACCTCGCTGTCCCTCCGACGACCTGGGCCGTCGGCACAGAGGCGGAGTGGACAGAGACCGTGGGCACCCCTCTTTCGTAGGCGGGGCTGTAGGCCAGCTGGTCTCCCTTGGCGTTCAGGAGCTTACGGAGCTGAGTGTGAGGAGGCGGGAAAGAGATTTGCTTTGAAACCTCTCACTCGCGTCTGGAGTCTGGCCGGCAGGTGCCACGCTGTCAGGAGCAACTACTGTTTTAAAGGAGAAACGTTGGGGCCAGCAGATGGCACAGCAGCTATGTCACTGGACCCTCGCATGGCTGACCGTGGTTCGAGTCCCAGACCCAGGGGCTTCAGACTTATGCTCGGTGCATGTGCCTGTGTGCCCAACTCCCCAGGAGGACAGTGGAGCAGAAGGGACTGGCGTGGCCATCCCCGCTGGGGGGCGACTTCTCACTTTCTGTCTCTCTGGTGAGTGCACGTGCCCTATAGCCAAAAAAAAAAAAAAAGAAAAAGAAAGAAAGAAAAAAAATTCTCCAATAATAAAGGAGAAACTCGAATTCATGATCTTCTTTTATTTTTAAATTTCCCTTAGAGGGTGCACATACTCACCAGAGACAGAAACAGGCGAGAGCGAGACCGCGGCCCCCACGGGGTGCTCATGCTGTAATCCCATCTCCTCCATTTCTCCTTTCGAAATTGGGGGCACGCATTCACAAAAATTCCATGTATTTTCCAAGCCACGGGGTCTAGGACTCGAACCATACAGTTGGCCATGTGACATCCAGCTGCCTTAACCACCACACCACTGGCGGCCCCATTGTTTTCTGTCCTGAGAAGAGGGGCTCAGTTGCCTTTTTTTTTTTTTTTTGAGAGAGAGATTTTTCGCTATAAGGCGCGTGCGCTTGCGAGACAGACAGAGAGACAGAAAGCGAGAAATCACCCCCCAGGGGGATGGTCACGCCGCAGTCCCTTCTCCTCCTTTCTCCTCTCGGGATCTTGGGCATGCATGCACACGCGCCCGGCGTGAGTTTAAGCCACCGGGTCTGGGACTCAAACCGCTGTCGACGACGTGGGAGTCCAGAGACATATCCATTACGCTAACTGCTGGTTCCCTCAGTTGCCTTTCTTAAACAAGCTGACACTCCTCCATTTCTCACAGGGACCTGTCCCCCGCTCCCCCAGAGAAGGGGCCGAGTGTCTCCCTGGGAACAGCCACACTTGGCCCTGACACCCACGCCCTGGTGACTTCTCGGAGGGACAGCCTCCTCCAGCAGGGCTCGACCTGGGCCCTGCCACAGCTCCCCTTTGTCTTCTCCATCCCAGGCCAACACGGGGCAGATCGATGACCCCCGGGAGCAGCCCAGAGTCATCGGCTGCAACCTCGCCCTCATCCAGGTGCGTCCCTGCCGGGCAGCCTGCCAGCCTCCTCGCCTTTTCTTTCCTTTTCTTTTCTTATGGAGAGGTTTTCTCTAGGGGGCGCGTGCACTCACCAGAGAGACAGAGAGACAGAGAGACAGAAAGCGAGAAATCACCCCCCAGGGGGGATGGTCACACCGCAGTCCCTTCTCCTCCATTCTTCTCTTGGGATCCTGGGCATACACGCACACGCGCCCAGAGTCAGTTTAAGGCACCGGGTCCGGGACACGAACCGCGGTCGACTACGTGGGAGTCCAGCGACATAGCCATTATGCCATCTGCTGGTCCTATTTTTTCTTAATTTTTTTAATTTTTTAAGTTTATTCATTTCTTCCATGAGAGGAAGAGACGGAGGCAGATGGGTGCTCTTGGCAGGGTCTCTGCACGGTCACCCCAGCCCCAGCCAGCCCAGGTCACGGGTGCAGGCGTGCCTGGAGGGTTCAGGGAGGCTTACGGACTCGAACCCAAAGCTGGGCCACTGAGAGGTTGTGAGAAGAGACTGGGTGGTCCTCGGCCAAGCCTGAGTGGGAGACGCTTGAAGGACTAGAGTCCACAGTGGAAGACAGCACCCAGCAAGGGGCAGGGGGGTTTCCCTCTTTCTTAATTTATGAGAGGTGTGCACACTTGCCAGAGAGAGAGGGAGAGTGAGAAAATGAGAAGGCACCCCTACGGGGCATGGTCACGCCACAGGCCCTTCTCCTCCAGAGGCCCTCCCGTTAGGACTGTGGGTGTGCACACACATGCCTGGCGTGTTCTCAAGCCGCTGGGTTCAGGACTCACACCACGCAGTCAGCCGTGTGGGATCCAGCCGCCTTACCCACCACACCACGGGCTTGCCCTTCTGTTTTCATCATTCATTTCTTGCTTCCGTGAACAAGAAAAACACGAGACAGAGAGAAAGACGCAGAAGCAGCACCCCACCCCAGCCCGGCCAGCCCG